GGGAGCCCTTTGGGGAGTGAGCACCCGTAGCTATTGGCAGCCAATCGCGGCCTCTGATTACATTCATTTGTTAGTCGTGAAGGTGAGGAATTTGACCAATCAGGGAGACCCACAGAGACCAGATCCAACCCTCGTCCAGTCCCCTGCTCTGCCTCCCTAGAAATAACACTTTAATTAAGCAACAGGGAATGGGATGGAACACCCAACGAATTGTTTGAAATGAGGAAATATAAGATAAATTATGTCTACAGAGCATAATAGCCCTATAACACAGGTAAAAAGGTGTTCACCTTTTTCCAGTCCTGGGCTACGGAGGAGTGACCATCCCGCCCTAACAGCTGTTTCTATCCCGGGACCTAGCCAGCTACCCGTCCATCACTGCCGGAACTACTCACACGTTACCGCCTCTGGTACTGCACGATACCTGCCAAAATAAGCCCCATTCATTGCCTGGTTACCAAAGGAGGAATCTGAGTAGTATGGAGGGGGTGTACTAGTGGGCAATGTGGGTGCTTACCCATTTAGGAGTAAGAGCCACTTCTGGAGCCAACCTTTCAGGCACGGTGCTAAGCACTTCCCCCTCATCCTGGGCATCTTCTACAGCTTGACTATGGAGTCAAACACTACAAGATAGCGGTCACTTGGGACTTCATATCTTATCCCCTCAATGTGTGCTTCACTCTGGCTGAACACCAGGAATAACATTGCAGGATATCTGTGTTATGTGTTACTTCAGCAAGAACCTATGTCCAGTAATTTAATTTTGCTTCAAGTCAGCAAGAACTAGAATCCAAGCCCACTCTACCCCTCTCGTGTAGCTTATTGGTCATATTATCGGCATTTGTGTACATTATACTGTTTATTACTAGCGAGGATTGCATTATTATGAAGGATAAGGGGCTGCAGTCTGCTCTTCTGATGACATTGCTGCTTGTTGTAGTGTACCTATATACGACCTACAGGTGAGTTGTCTTTGCGTGTACATTTCGTCTTGCCACTCTTTTTTTTCACCTGTCTCATCTTTTGGCATGTATAAATTTAGGTACACCACGTGATATACCTCTACTTTCTTCAGCTTACACTTTATGGGCTATTCATGCCCGTGCCATCTCTTGGGTGGCTTAATCCTCATCAATCAATCAATCAATTAATCAATCAGCTTACACTGTTCAGGCTGCAAACGAGGAGTCACAATAACGTAGCTGAAATATGTTGACCAAACCACACACTAGAAAGTGAAGGGACGACGACGTTTCGGTCCGTCCTGGGCCATTTTTAAGTCGATTGTGACCTAATGGTCCAGGACGGACCGAAACGTCGTCGTCCCTTCACTTTCTAGTGTGTAGTTTGGTCAACACTGTTCAGGCTGCATGTGTCCCGCTGGCCTAGGGTCTAATAGCTACTTCTGATCCAACTGTGCTGAGTGGAGCCTTCCACCCGACCCTCCTCTCCACTGTGCTGGCTGGCGGAATTACGTTCATTAATAAGCGAACTACCGGAGGGGGCGAAACGAGGTAATTCCTAAGGAGGAAACTAGCCAAATTGATTTTTAGACAAATTTCGTCCGTTTTATTGGAGGATATTGCTGTTCATCGGGTATTACGGGACGTAGGGGAAACTGGAGCCGCATCTATGATAAATATATCCTAAAATTCATTAATTCTTGGATTTGGTTGTAGAGTCTTTACTAAAGCAATGAACTGTAAGCATAATTGCCGTTCATCTTGAACGGCTGTCTCAAAATGTCTTCTAGATCCTCCGTCTCCTACAGTTGACAACTACTCACCTCTCCGTCTCCTTCCTATTACAATTGCATAACAACTATAATTTCTTGTTATCAATGATCCTAAAATTGTAGGAAGAACCTGGACGCTATAACGAGGACACAACTGCTGAAATAAATGTATTTATCTATATTTAGATATTTAGATATCACTCAAACTCCTGTTTGTATAAGATCAGTATTTTCATTTATCAGCTAACCAAATACACGATACAGTTTGTATAGGGGATGTAGATGTATGGAACAGAGTATGTGGGTTCGCTGTATTGCTTAGGCGTAAGTCAGAGATATGTTTGAATGAATTTACTTGGATATAAATAGGAGTTGCCCCGAATGGGTCTTTTGCAGTTAAGGGAATTCTTATGTTCTTGTACTGGGTACTCTAGACATACCAGAGTGTGGGTACCACTAGACATACCCTTAGTGTGGGTATCACTAGACATACCCCTAGTGTGGGTACCACTAGACATACCCTCAGTGTGGGTATCACTAGATATACCCCTAATGTGGGTACCACTAGACATACCCCCACTAGACATACCCTTAGTGTGGGTATCACTAGACATACCCCTAGTGTGGGTACCACTAGACATACCCCCAGTGTGGGTACCACTAGACATACCCCTAGTGTGGGTACCACTAGACATACCCCTAGTGTGGGTACCACTAGACATACCCCTAGTGTGGGTACCACTAGATATACCCCTAATGTGGGTACCACTAGACATACCCCTAGTGTGGGTACCACTAGATATACCCCTAGTGTGGGTACCACTAGACATACCCCTAGTGTGGGTACCACTAGACATACCCCTAGTGTGGGTACCAGTAGACATACCCCTAGTGTGGGTACCAGTAGACATACCCCTAGTGTGGGTACTGCTAGACATACCCCTAGTGTGGGTACCACTAGATATACCCCTAATGTGGGTACCACTAGACATACCCCTAGTGTGGGTACCACTAGACATACCCCTAGTGTGGGTACCACTAGACATACCAAGTAGACACACGCTGACTATGTATATACAAGAACGGAGATGTTGTAATTAATAAATTGATCCAATCTAAACATGTCAACTCAAAACATTTTAACGAAAATTTAAAATGTTGTGTAAGTTGCTGGGTGAGTCAGGAGGGGAATGGGTGTTAGTAGTGGGCGAGAGATACAGAAGTAAGGGTGGATGTGGGGGGTGGGTTTTAGGCATGTGTTTGGAAGAAAGTTTTTGGCAAGAGTGGGTGTCCAGCAAGAGTGGATGTCCAGCAAGAGTGGGTGTCCAGCAAGAGTGGGTGTCCAGCAAGAGTGGGTGTCCAGCAAGAGTGGGTGTCCAGCAAGAGTGAGTGTCCAGCAAGAGTGGGTGTCCAGCAAGAGTGGATGTCCAGCAAGAGTGGGTGTCCAGCAAGAGTGGGTGTCCAGCAAGAGTGGGTGTCCAGCAAGAGTGGGTGTCCAGCAAGAGTGGGTGTCCAGCAAGATGGATTACTAGAGAAGGCGTCCTCAGACATCATCATAATTCGCATATAACTATTGAAAACCAAATCAAATCAATGAAAATTACTACAAACTTCGTAAAGCAGATGTTTAAACGTAACTCTTCAACATTTATATATATATATATGGCATCCATAAAATATTTCACAGGGTCGAAGATCAGCTGTTGGTTTACCTGTGTCAGAGTAATTATAGCTTCGCACCTTAGGGTTTCCGGAGGAAAGGGGATATGTTAGGGTAGGGGATAGGTTATGGGCCAGAGGGGGTAATGTTAGGGGGGACGAGAGGCTTGTTACCTGTAGATGATTAGTAGCAGTTCCAGGTACAAGGGGCGGGCCTCAAAGGTGCGCCGCCGACCATAGGTGTTTATAATACAAAATGGAAGGCTTAAGGCAGACAATATTATTGGCTTCCACGGGCGCCAGTTCAACTCTTGATATATCGCTTTGTAATACAAACCCCATTCTGGGGGGAAATGTTATCATGGTGACATGTCATCAGATGGGATGTGTCAATAATTTTGCGCGTTCATTTGTGCATGTGAGGTAATTGAAAATATTTAGAGGTTGTTACAGCCATTATTACTGCAGGATTACATCACCTTGTTTCACATCGTCATAACAACAATGCTGCATTGAGTTTTATCATATTTTACTATGTGAAGTGACAAAAATGTCTCACTTCATTCAACAACCAAAAAAGTGATTACACTATGTACGCGCACACAGCGGCGGAAGTGCTCCTCGCAGCGAGAATAATTGAATGCATAATTAAAACCATTATTTAATGTTTGTGTATGTATACCTAGGTATACCTTGGTATACATACACAAACATACAGTGATGAAGATTTGTACACACATGTATTTTAACCATGTCGTAGCTCAGTCGATTAAGGCAGCGTCTGGGATCGTCTCGGGTGTAGGTTCGAGCCCTCGTCACGACCCTTGTGGATTTATTCATGAAGATATATGCACGTAAACACAACATATATATACGCTTAGGCACAGTAGAAGACCGCGGTGAAGGCAAAGGCTGCACTATACTTGTTATCTTGTAACACAGTTTGCAAGGAATTCCTCTCGCAATATTGGTAAGGTAACTTGCAAGAAACTGTTGCATAAATTCATAGCCGGTCAAACTTTGTCCCACTTCAGGACAAGGAAATGAAAATCATGTAGTGGAGCAGGCAGCCAGGCTGGACAAATTCTTGCAAACTGTACCACAATGACTCAAGTAGAACAGAAGCTTTGCGATATATCCGTTGAGAAAGTAATTGCACAATTACTTTCTTTGAGTAATTGCTTTGGTTGTTGTACTTCTGTTTTCTGGCGTTTCGTTTTTTCCTAGTTTTTTTTTTATGATATATACAAGAGTTGTTACATTCTTGTACAGTCACTAGTACGCGTAGCGTTTCGGGCAAGTCCTTAATCCTATGGTCCCTGGAATACGATCCCCGCCGCGAAGAATCGTTGTTACAACCAAGTACACATTTTACTGTTGCGTTAAACAGAGGCTACAGTTAAGGAATTGCGCCCAGTAAATCCTCCCCGGCCAGGATTCGAACCCATGACAGTTGATCTGCGATCCTCCGATACACGTGTTTGTGTATGTGTGTATACACAAAGATTGAAAGAGCAATTGACAGAGGGGACATAGCTGCATTGTTCTAAATTACGAACGGCAGAACGCGCTCACACACATGGAAGCTTGATACTGGGTTACTCCGATGTCTGAATGTGTTATTCCGATGTCTGAATGTGTTACTCCGATGTCTGAATGTGTTACTCCGATGTCTGAATGTGTTACTCCGATGTCTGAATGTGTTACTCCGATGTCTAAATGTGTTACTCCGATGTCTGAAAGTGTTACTCCGATGTCTGAAAGTGTTACTCCGATGTCTGAAAGTGTTACTCCGATGTCTGAAAGTGTTACTCCGATGTCTGAAAGTGTTACTTCGATGTCTGAATGTGTTACTCCGATGTCTGAAAGTGTTACTCCGATGTCTGAATGTGTTACTCCGATGTCTGAATGTGTTACTCCGATGTCTGAAAGTGTTACTCCGATGTCTGAATGTGTTACTCCGATGTCTGAAAGTGTTACTCCGATGTCTGAAAGTGTTACTCCGATGTCTGAAAGTGTTACTCCGATGTCTGAAAGTGTTACTCCGATGTCTGAAAGTGTTACTCCGATGTATGAAAGTGTTACTCCGATGTCTGAATGTGTTACGCCGATGTCTGAAAGTGTTACTCCGATGTCTGAAAGTGTTACTCCGATGTCTGAAAGATGTCTGGAAGTGTTACTCCGATGTCTGAAAGTGTTACTCCGATGTCTGAATGTGTTACTCCGATGTCTGAATGTGTTACTCCGATGTCTGAATGTGTTACTCCGATGTCTGAATGTGTTACTCCGATGTCTAAATGTGTTACTCCGATGTCTGAAAGTGTTACTCCGATGTCTGAAAGTGTTACTCCGATGTCTGAAAGTGTTACTCCGATGTCTGAATGTGTTACTCCGATGTCTGAAAGTGTTACTCCGATGTCTGAAAGTGTTACTCCGATGTCTGAATGTGTTACTCCGATGTCTGAAAGTGTTACTCCGATCTCTGAACGTGTTACTCCGATGTCTGAAAGTGTTACTCCGATGTCTGAAAGTGTTACTCCGATGTCTGAAAGTGTTACTCCGATGTCTGAAAGTGTTACTCCGATGTCTGAAAGTGTTACTCCGATGTCTGAAAGTTATTTGTTGTTGTTTTCAGTGTTAGAACTGTCAATAAATGGAACAGGTTAGATGCTGACGTCATTGGCGCTAATTCGGTTCAAAAGTTTAACTGTAAATGAGATAAAAGGGTGAGAAATGTATTTCTCACGCATTCCATATATTCCATTAATCTAAGAACGTTTGGTAAGCGGGGCTAGGAGCCAGGTATATATATCTGGCCTCGGCAGGCCAGATATATATATATTGTTGCCTTTACTCAATAAACTGCTGACGCGAACTATTGTGTATTCTCTACAATCCAGCAAGCACCATACATCTAAAGGTAACGAATACTGACCTTACCTCCAGAGCGGTCAGTACCAGCTCTGTAGGGAATGACGTCAGAGACCTACTCGACTGTGATTGGCTATATCCCAACCGTCATACAGTTTGAATACTAACACCCACACACACACACACACACACACACACACATGAGACAAAAAGAAAATTAGTTGGTTAGTAGTTAGTAACAGTTGATTGATTGACAGTTGAGATGCGGGCAGAAAGAGCAGAAGTCAAACCCCCGCAAGCACAACTTGGTGAATACAACTAGGTGAATATACACACACACAGGATAACTTGAACAGGTTGCAGAGTTGGTCCGATAAATGGCTGCTAGAGTTCAACACCAGCAAGTGTAAGGTGATGGAAATGGGATCAGGAGCCAAGACACCGAAAGGCCGATATATGATGAAGGGAAACTGACTTTCTATAACGACTAGAGAAAATGACCTGGGAGTGGACATAACACCGAACCTAACTCCAGAGGTTCATAAAATAGAATAACGTCAGCCGCAAATTCTACTCTGGTAAAAGTCAGAACATCCTTCAGAAACCAGAATAAGGAGGCTTTTAGATCACTGTATACCGCCTATTTGAGGCCAGTCTTAGAATATGGGGGGCATCTTAGAGCCCCTATCCTAAAAAACACATAAGTAAGTTCGAAAAGGTGCATAAGTTTGCAACGAGACTCGTTCCAGAGCTGCGAGGGATGAGGTACGAAGAGAGACTGAAATAACTAACGCGGACGACGTCAGAAGGGATGAGGGAGAGAGGGGGACACAATGCAGACATATAAAATACTTAAAAGGGATTACAAGGTGGAAACAGAAGAATTATTTACGATGAATATGAACAGAACAAGGGGGCACGGATGGAAGCTTGAGACTCAGATGTGTCTTAGAGATGTTAGAAAGTTTTCTTTTAGCGTAAGAACGGTGGGAAAATTATATGAACTAAAGGGGCAGTTTGAACAATTAAGTGAAACTCCATCAACAATTTCAAACGTATATATGATGAGTAAGTAGGTGAGGAGTCATTAGACGAATAGCGGCTGGAAAGTCGGGGCACAGGAGCTAAAGCTCGATGCTGCAGGCACAAATTGGTGAATACAAACAGTTGTGTACAAAACACACACCGCGGCTGAGTGGACAGCGCTTCTGGGGTCGTAATCCTAAGGGCCCGGGTTCGACCCCCGGCAGAGGAAGAAACAAATGGGCAAAATTTCTTTGCACCCTGGTGCCCCTGTTCACCTAGCAGTAAATGGGTACCTGGGAGTTAGACAGCCGCTACGGACTGCTTCCTGGGGATGTGTGTATGTGTATGCACGTATTGAAGAGAAATATATGTAGTAAACATAAAAAGAGGAAAAATAAATTGCTTAGAAAGGCGGGATCCAAGAACTAATAGCTCGCTTCTGCAGATACAAATAGTAAACACACACACGCACGCAAATGTGAGTAGATTTATGTCTTATTATAATCATTTTATCACTTAATCTCTCTCCACAGGCATTCTACAAAACAGGAAGCAACTCCTATCACCCCGAAATTTAAATCACTCTCTCACACGCTTAATGTTGCTCCTTCAAGCAATTCTAACAAAAAACATAATTTTTTCGGATTGCATATATTTTTTGTTCGTAATTATCAGTTTCCTGCGATTAAGAGAGAATCAGCGTCATATTAGATCAATGTATCTCTGATTATTTTACTATGTGTTACAACGTAATATCGCCTTAGTAAAATTGTAGGTTAGTAATAGTATGGCAGTTTAATACTGACATAATATTCTGCTTCAGTGTAATATCGTTTAAGTAACAATACGTATGTATTGTATGTATAGTGAAACGTATTATTAGTAATATTTTGCGTTTCAGCGTAATATGGTCTTGGTAATACTGAGTGGTTCAGGGTAACATGGTGTTGGTAATACTGAGTGGTTCAGTGTAACGTGGTGTTGGTAATACTGAGTGTTCAGTGTAACGAGGTGTTGGTAATACTGAGTGGTTCAGTGTAACGTGGTGTTGGTAATACTGAGTGGTTCAGTGTAACGAGGTGTTGGTAATACTGAGTGGTTCAGTGTAACGAGGTGTTGGTAATACTGAGTGGTTCAAGGTAATATCAGTCACGCTTCACCACCTTCCCACACGACCCCCTCCCCCCCCCCCTCCTATGACTATCCCCGGATAAAGACCAATAACCCTGCAAAGTTTGGTGAGACTAGCCGTAAGCGTCTGATCCCCAACCTCGAACATACAGACATCCAATTTTCTGAATATGGGTTAAAAAAGGCAGTAGGATCAGGGTCACCAAACCCTCAGCCAGAGGGGTCAGGGGTCACCAAGCCCTCAGCCAGAGGGGTCAGGGGTCAACAAGTCCTCAGCCAGCAGGGTCAGGGGTCACCAAGCCCTCAGCCAGAGGGGTCAGCAAGTCCTCAGCCAGCGGGGTCAGGGGTCACCAAGCCCTCAGCCAGAGGGGTCAGGGGTCACCAAGCCCTCAGCCAGTGGGGTCAGGGGTTCACCAAGCCCTCAGCCAGCGGGGTCAGGGGGTCACCAAGCCCCCAGCCAGAGGGGTCAGGGGTCACCAAGCCCCCCAGCCAGCGGGGTCAGGGGGTCACCAAGCCCCCAGCCAGCGGGGTCAGGGTCACCAAGCCCCCAGCCAGCGGGGTCAGGGTCACCAAGCCCTCAGCCAGCGGGGTCAGGGGGTCACCAAGCCCCCAGCCAGAGGGGTCAGGGGGTCACCAAGCCCCCAGCCAGCGGGGTCAGGGGGTCACCAAGCCCCCAGCCAGCGGGGTCAGGGTCACCAAGCCCCCAGCCAGAGGGGTCAGGGGTCACCAAGCCCCCCCCCCCTCACACCACAGCCTGCCAAAGGTAATTACCACCCACACCATAATTAGAACTGCAAACGCAAAGAGAGAACAATTGTGTACTTGATGTCACTAAGGCCGGAACGGAGACACGAGAAAGTAGCGTCCATCAAGACAGGTGGGCAGCTGTCGAACCCGGGAGACAGACAAGACACCTGCCTGTCACGCAGCTGTCACACGATGACGCCCCGCTGTCAGGACCGTTGCCCTCGTTATAGATGCGATGGCGTTCAAGGTCTGGGAAGATGAAGACTACGTTCACGGTGTGTAATGCAAGCCTTCGGAGACAGCAAATCAACGAGAAGACCGGTTGAGAGCCGCAGCCTAATGTAACCAGGAGGAACCACATGCTTGGCTACGTAATTCTGAAAGTTAACTTATATTTTTCCTCGCATAATGGCAATCTTGCAAGCCGGGAACAGATGAGGTTCCCGACAGAATATACACATCACACTCACTATAAAGACTGGGATAGATAATTGAAATTTGACAAGCTTGCATATCACAACCCTGTTTAGAGGTCAATAAAACGATGTTCCAGATATTAAAAATACATTCATAAGGAGGAAGTCTTCATAAATAGGACATTAAAGCCGGGTTAAGGGTTTTCAGTTTATAATATATATATGGGAATAGAAACTCACCTTCCTACTCTTAGTCATTCCAGTAAGACCACAAAATTAATGTATGAACGTTCATTCTGCTATGAGCATAGGAAAACATATTATATGTCCTTTTGTTAAATAGATGTTTGTGTATGTGTGTGTGTGTGTGTGTGTGCGCGCGCCCGTGTGTGAGCGTGCTTGCGTGTGAATGCGTGCGTATGTGTGCTGGGGTGTGTGTTCTCACCTATTTGATCTTGCAGGGGTTGAGCTTTGGCTCTTAGTCAAGTGTGTGTGTGCATGCGTGTGTGCGTGCGTGCGTGCGTGCGTGCGTGCGTGCGTGCGCTGTGCTGCGTGAAGCCTTCTCAGTACTGGAAGATGTGGGGGCATGAGGGACTAGTGTAGACCAATGCAACAGAAGACACGGCTAACAATAAGAGTTCCGAGGTGTATATGTAGGCATACATATACACGCTCATACATGCGCGTGAGCATACATACATCAGTGCCACTGAGAAACCTCAAGAAGCGAGGCTTGTGTCACGACGTAAATACCGGCCACGCAGCCAATGTGCTTGACTGCGAGACGGGTTAAAGTTCAAGTACGTTTACCGAGACAATATAATACAAATCTCAAAGGAGATAGAATAGCGTAGGCTTTTCTATCCTCCTGCGAGACGGATCTTGTCAGCACGCCAGCTTCATCCCGGGGATAGGGAGACAGGTGTGGGATGGGGGAGGGAGGTGTGGGATGGGGAGGGAGGTGTGGGATAGGGAGACAGGTGTGGGATGGGGGAGGGAGGTGTGGGATGGGGGAGGGAGGTGTGGGATGGGGAGGGAGGTGTGGGATAGGGAGACAGGTGTGGGATGGTCAAACCTGAAGGTGTGGGAAGGAAGACTTAATCTGACAAGATCTGAACAGGTGTGTTCTCTCATCCGCCTTATTATATATTGCACACGCACGCACGCAAATTGGCCAGTTTCTTTCACCTGATGTTCCTGCTCACCTAACAGTAAGGAGGTACCTGGGAGTTAAGACAGATGCTGCGAGTTGCATTCTGGGGATGTGTGTGTGAGTGAGAGAGAGAGAGAGAGAGAGAGAGAGAGAGAGAGAGAGAGAGAGAGAGAGAGAGAGAGAGAGAGAGAGAGAGAGAGAGAGAGAGAGAGAGAGAGAGAGAGAGAGAGAGAGAGAGAGAAATATGTAGCAGATATGAGATAGGAAAAATAGGTCGGGAGTCAGTACAATAAATTAGTGGTTAGAGAGGCGGGTTCCAAGAGCTAACAGCTCGATCCTGCAAGCACAAATAGCAACTACAGACACAAACACATACACACACACATTGCATTATACGACAGTTGACTGAAAGGCGGAACCAAAGAGTTGAATCTCAAATTACAAGCAAATACAGACGATCGAACCAAATATATCTCTTAGTCTTTTTAGATAAAAAAAGATAAAATAGATAACTCTTAGATAAAAGCTGAGAAAGATGAGACATGATCGCATATTATGACCACAACGAGCACTGATAAAGTGAATAAGGACTAAATCTACAGGAGACACAGATTACCAATACAGATAGTGAGATAAGGTAATGAACAGGAGTTAATGGAATTTAATAATATCATACATCTGAGTATAAATGTGCTTCTTATATCATCCTAGTGATCCTGGAGCTATTGCATTAGGCAACCGATAGCAGGAAAGGTGGGGGCCCAAGAGCTAATGATCCTTCTTGTAAGCATAAATAGGTCAATAAAATAATGCGAGGCAATTACTGGTTTAGTTCCATTCACGCTACTTTTTGGAGCTTAACTGTGGGCCTCATTATACAAATTTTTGTCGGCTAGCAAGTAAAAAACTTACATCACTAGACGATGCTTGATGAATTACAATTAGAAATGTGACTCATTATTCAGAATATTCATTACGGTGTGTGTATGTGTGTATGTGTGTGTGTGCGTGCGTGCGTGTGTGTGTGCGTGTGTGTGTGTGTGTGTGTGTGTGTGTGTGTGTGTGTGTGTGTGTGTGTGTGTGTGTGTAATTACCTAAGTGTAGTTACAGGATGAGAGCTACGCTCGTGGTGTCCCGTCTTCCCAGCACTCTTTGTCATATAACGCTTTGAAACTACTGTGTGTGTGTGTGTGTGTGTGTGTGTGTGTGTGTGTGTGTGTGTGTGTGTGTGTGTGTGTGTGTGTGTGTGTGTGTGTGTGTGTGTGTGTGTGTACTCACCTAGTTGTGCTTGCAGGGGTTGAGCTCTGGCTCTTTGGTCCCGCCTCTCAACCGTCAATCAACAGGTGTACAGTGTGTGTGTGTGTGTGTGTGTGTGTGTGTGTGTGTGTGTGTGTGTGTGTGTGTGTGTGTTCTTATAAATGTGTCATATAAATGTCAACTGATATTCCATCTATTATTCTACACAAAGATAAGCTGTCTTCAAGATATCTACTCAGAAATGGCTTATAATTAATATTACAAATTGCATACAGCTTCACAATTCACAATCATGGCAAATTTATTTATTTCGATTAACATTTTCAGATTTTCTCTGACGTACCCCTTTATATATTGCATATGATTTTCCTGCAAGTACTTGCATCTATTATAAAACTTCCTTTTTGTGTGAACTGAGGAATTTCAAATAAAGTTTACACAATATACTTTTTAGTATATCCATCGTCATTAATTTATAATAGTTCCCAGCAAACTTTTGAACATTTTTTATATTATTAATGAAAATTTAGCAGAATACAGTTATATCGCAAATTGTATATATATCTCCCAACTACGTTTCCTGTGAGCATTTTTGAGCGATCTGCAGCGATAAGATCGCTCGATTTGGCCTCGCGGTACATCTGCACCGCCAGTCTTATCGCTGTATATTGCACTTCATAACACACATCATTAATTTCATAATTTGCAATCTTCTATCTTACTTTATACTTTCATACAAATTTCTGTGCAAATGTGGAATTGACGTCAAATAAAGTACAACTTTATCTCTGACGTCACTGACTTTCACTGTTCGTTTCTACAGTAATTACTGGATGGCGATAGATTTGTGGCTTCCGCTTAGATGGAAACCCAAACTCATTATCTGAGCTCGACACTCGTACGCATATGCGTATAATACACGCAGTATTCTTGTTAGCAGGAGAGTGCATATGCTGTATACCTGTTGATAGAGGGAATGTATATGCGGTAATACTTGTCGAGAAAGCGGTATACGTGACCGCCACTTGAGCGGGAGAATGCGCAAAAAATTTCAGACAATAAGAACTCATTTTATCATGTACGAGAAGAATTTCTAGATATATGCATAAATATATACCGAACATGAGCACAAGTGTTAAGTTCAGTGCGGGTAAAGGCGGGAGGGAAGGAGTAAGAGACAGGGGGAAAGGAGTATGGGAATGAGGGATATGGTTGGTGGGATAATGAAGGAAGAGTAAGGGAAGGAGGTATAGAATCAGGTCCTACAAAGGTGTGCTACAACAAGACAACATTCTCGTTACTCCCACACAATTTCCTCAATGCTAGGAAATGCGTGAAAAATTATTTAAAAAATGTTCTATTTGTTCTTTTAATAAGATATTGGAAAGAAAGCACAAGTTATAAATATAACACGGGCCCGATACTTGGTCTGCCCTAGTTTTTTTTAAATAACTCATTTAGGTACATTTGCATTTGTGCAGCTGCCCTAGACTATATGAAGGGGCGTACAGAGTGTCAAAAAACAAGCTACGTGATGCTACAAATCTCCATCACACAGGATGGTTAGTTATACAAAGGCATGTGATAAGTAGTCTGCACTGACAGACTCTGGGTGCATTAAATGCCCTAGTTTTTTTTTATTAATATATGAGGTACATCTGCATTAGTGCAGCTACCCTAGACTATATGAAGTGGAGTACAGTGTGTCAAAAATGCTAACTAGGGTGATGCTAAAAAATCTCCATCACACAGGATGGTTAGTCATACAGAGGCATGTGATAAGCAGTCTGCACTGGCAGACTCCAGAAGCATTTTGAGGATATCATCAATACAAGAGCAAGGTAGCAGTGGTAATACAAGTTCCCATCTCGCAGGATGGTTAGTCATACAGGGCCATATGTTTAATAGCCTACACTGGCAAATTTTGGGTATACTGTGAGGATATCTTCAAGAATACGAGAATGAATAAAGTAATTACAAAGCTCCAGGTACCTCATACCAACTGGTCTGAAAGGTCTCCATACTTGTAAAAAAAAAAAACCTGCGTTGGGCCAATGCTAATTTCAGTTATTCCAGCTTCCATCAGTTGAGAATTGCAATAATTCCCTCCCATTGTGTTTCTAATAATTTTTACAATTAATA